AGCATATACCATCTCTCCTGGGGCAGATGGAAAGCACAGGTCTCATTTCTCTGACACCAGCCTGCACTGTTTGTAAGATGAGCCTTTTCCCAACCCTGGAGCCTGCAGCCAGCTGTTGTTGCAACTCCCTCTCTGTCTGTCTTACAATAATGTTAAAAAATTAGAGAGACGTCGAGTGTCCCATGTGTAGGGGGGATTAGCATGCAATTGACAATAGTGAATGTGTTAACTGAACGTACAGTTCCATAAGCAAGCAAACTTGTTGTAGTTTTTACTCTTACAGGTACAATATGTAAGAATTTTGTAATAAAATATCCAAAAATCACCTGCAGTGTGATAAATTTCCTGCAGTTGTGTACTTACAATATCCCAAAAGTCTCCAAAGATTTTTTATTTCAGAGAAATTCCAATTTTAAATAAGTGGCCGTCCCGGAAAAAAATGTCGCCTGTCAATGACGCAATATCCGCGCTATCCTCAGTTTCCGTTCATACTGCCATAGCCATGACGTAACCATGGCGACAGACGTGGACAACTGCGTAGTGCGTAACATTTAGCGGCACACAGTTCTTGTTTCTTTCAAACATAGACCATGGCAAGCAGACTTTGGGACAAACAAGGAGAACTAAAATGAGGATCAATATCAGCGTGGCGTTTTGAGATACCGAGAGCTCCACGTCCGCGACTAACTTGGACTTGACAGAGCTTCACGAGTCACGACTTTATTAGACAGGTGAGCAAATGTACATAAAACAAATCAATGTATAACGTTAGCTCAACATGATGAAATGTTAGAATATGGTCAGTATGTTATTCTAATGTTGATCTAGCTTACTGCTAGTTTTCGTATAGCAAACGAACTAACACGTAGTATAACATTATAACTTTCAACACACATTTAAATGTCGTTTAGTGTGATAGTGTAACGTTAGACCAAGTGAAGTAGCGCTGCGTTACCTCACACCGTCACACGTTTAATTCGTCTAATAAACTGACCCGTGTGAGTAATCCAGCACTTGCGGGTAGTTCGGTAGAATTAAATGTCCTTATTCCTTTATATCCGCGGGACTCGCGTGTGATATCTGTCTCTTTAGCAATCGCGACCTGCTTCATACCACTGTAATATTAAAAAACATGAATGTTTGCGCTCATCCATAAACATTATTCGATCCATCAGCTTGACAGCAAGTCCTATCATTCAGCACATCACTGCGTCATCAACCTACGCCTTTGTTACTGTTGGAAACTGCGCCCTCTTGTGGCGAAAAAACCCTACATATTGTGCCTTTAATCCATAATCTCAAAATATGTGGCTGTATTAATAGCGTGCAAAACAACATTATTTTAGGGATGCACCGATTACAATTCTGTCTGATACTGATAAATGGCCGATATAAAAATTCTGTACTATACTATTGTCTGAATAAATGAAAAATAAAACACTAAAAACTACAACCAGAAATTTTAAATGGGAATATAAAATTGAATTTAAGCATCCAAACATTACAATGCACAGTATGAAAAATTTATATTTATTATGGGATTTGCTATAAATTACATTTAACAGTGTTATCAAATTATTAGTGGTTTTAGTGGCATTAAGTGAGTGTTAAATAATAGTAAATTCTAAAATCAAAATGTATAATCAGAAGAAAATGAACAAGAACAATTAAATATCCAATATAGACTGATACATAAAAAAAAAATCTAATATCGGTAAAGCAGTATGTTTAAAATCAACATGAAAAGGAAGTTTAGTCTTTCCTTTCCTATTGTGATGTATATCCAAGTGAAACGGCTTCTCAAACAAGAAAAAATGCAGGGCGGGACTTGATTTTATCCATCGGGAATTGATTGGATGGTTGTGGTTTGCTATTGCTGTGATGTCATGTGAGTGACAGGTTGCCCCGCCCTCACGCCAGTAAACACATCATCAGAGAAGAGAAGTGATGTCGCTGCAAGAGGGAGGGGAAGTTATTTTAATTAAAGATTATGAGGGCATGTTAAAAAAAATAATGATGTGCACAGATAAATAATTTATAATAAATACTGCAATATTCAATCACCCAGCCCTACAAGCCAAGGTTGATCTAGTCGTCATGTCCATCCCTAATCTACTAGACATTCAAGACTTTCAATCAGATAATATTTGCTTATCTTGCGAGGTCCTAGCAGACATGACATCACTAGAGCAGACAGCAATGATTGGTCAGGTTTTCGCCTCGGAGGACTGATCACATATCACTAAACTCATTTAGTGAATATCATGCAGACAAGCTCAAAGCAATTTCTTATCCTTTGTTTTACCCTTACTCGGATGTCTAACAACATAGATCATTATTAAAGAGCTTGTTCTACAAAGTTCTACACTTATAGGGTTTGATGCCCAGGTTTTTTGCCAATAAATGTAGTTCTGGCTTCCGGAAGTAACTGCAGAATAAACAACAATCTCAGCACACTAAGCAATGTTGTGCACAGACTCAGCAGTCCCTCCCTCAACAGGCCAAGTTAATCCCTCTCATAGACTCAGTGAGTAAATGCTTGTGGTCAGAAACAGCGAAAGAAACCGTAATCCGGGGGTTTGGAATACTAGGGCAGATAATAATGTACATTAGCACACATAGTTTATGCCCTCCATATCACCTGATCATGGTACGGTAATAAAGCCATCATGAATAATGAGACGAACTGTAAGAGGATCATTACAGTAAAAATGTCAATCTTTTTCTGCTAATCAGGAAGTGCAGTATAGATTTACAAAAAGATCAAAAATGGGTTTTAAGACTTGACCGTTTAGACATTTGGTTATTTTGAGATCATGAGTAACGGGGCCAATAACTATATGAACAAAAAAGCTTATTTCATCTCAGAGGAATTGCTACAAGTAATTTGTATTTGCGTATAACACATAGGCTATATGTCAGAATTATATCAGCTATAGTTTTATTAGTGAGTATCAGCTAGTTAAGATTGTTAGTATCTTCAAGATATCGGTATCGGATAATCAAAAATCCTATTGATTACATTTTTAAAGGGGTCCATTTGGTAATCTGACACCCATATTTATTCGTGAATGTGTTCATTCTTTGTGGTCTTATTTATCAGTTGGTTCGAAAATATGAGACCCATTATGTAAAATATACCATCACATGTGCTTCACTTCCTAAAAGATTATCCATCCAGACTTTGAAAAGGTGGACCTGTCTGTTCAACTTTTGGCATTGATTTGGTTTCTCATAACAGCCTAACATTCAAATACACAACTAATTATTCATGATTAGAGGAACCAAAAGTAAAAGTCTAGGAATCCATTAATGGAAACTCCACACTTGGGAGACCTTCCTGAATGTCTATATTACAACAAAGCATTTTGGTTACATTTTTTTTAAAGGTTGAGTAAACTTAGGTGAGAGTAGACGCCTTGTGTGGTTTAAACAAATAGGACTGGGCAAAAAACTCAAGCTCCTCTGACATTTCTCTTTAAAAATTCTTGTTTTAGACTCTTTTATTTTGCTTTAGCCTCTGCGCTTCCGCTTTCGTCAATACGTCATGCGTCGGGTCAGAGGTCACTTTTTTGGACTTGAAAAAAAAAGAAGGTACCATTCTCTCCTATTATAAGGCTTGGAAGAGCCAAGATATTTTTTTTAAATATAACTCCGATTGTGTTTGGCTGAAAGAAGCAAGTCATCTACACCTAGGATGACTTGAGTGTGAGTAAATTATGGGATAATTTAAATTTTGTTGGTAAATTAACACTTTAAGGTGGCCCTGTTACAGTGTAATTACACAAATACATACTGAGTAATATTAATTAACAACATGTACTTACTATACACTCTTTAAAAAGGTTCTTTATTGGCATCTATGATTCCATGAAGAACATTTAACATCCATGGAACCTTGCACAAAAGGTTATTTATAGTGGGAAAAAAACTTTAAATTATTTAAATATTCTTTACAAAATAGTTCTTTAATGGCCTCATTGCACAAACTTCCTTTTGGAACCTTTATTTTTAAAAGTGTATGTTTAGGGTTAGGTTTAGGATTGCTTGTATTTATACTGTTATATCCATAGTAAGTAGGCTACATGTAATAAAGTGTTACCATTATTGTAACAAACTAAGAATTGGCTTAGAAACTTGCATAAGTTACACAGAAATATCACAGCACGCTCTTTATAGTCTATCTACAAACCAAATCTTCACATCTTTCCTCCTCTTCCCTTTTTTGTTTTTCTTTTATCAGTGTGTCTTATGGATAGTAAGCAAAGAAGTGTTTTGGTCACTTATATAATGTTTAATTTGCTTATAGACACCATATCATTTTGGTCTGGGCCTTTAAGACAATGAGAACTGGTACTGATGGTGTATGAATGAAGCAAAACATCTCTAGCAAGCTAAATGTTAATAGCCTCATCTTAAATGTACCTCGAAATATCGATACAAATTTGCAGTCGGCTGAACCGTTTAATAACATATAAAGCAGGTTGTTTACTAACTAATAGCATAAAATTCGACACAATATCCCCTTGTCCAGGAATGCAACATTCTGTACCCATCAAATGAGGCTACGATGGGAATATCTGGAAGACTGAGGCCCGTTTTTCTGGCACAACCCTCTGAGCTGTTATTCCTTGTTGTCTACGGACAATGTATCACATTAAATGGGCTGCAGTCTGCTACACCGCTCACTACTATACGCCCTAAATGATTCAGCACCCCCACGTCAATCACAATCCACATTTACCTCTCGGGTTCGGGTCCTGCGGGTACGGCGGAGCGGTGGGCGTGCCATTCCCCGAGTTCGGTGCAGACAACAGTGGGGATCGTTCATCCATACCATCGGAAGCCATTCTATCAGTAGATCAGCACAGAAAAACAACAACAGCAGCAGCAGCAGCGACGAATGGTGGAGGGCTCCGTCGTCCGCTGCTCTGGAGAGGGGCAGTGAGACTGAGAGAGAGCGCGGGGCAGGGACAGTGAAGAGGCGGAGTCAAAGACGTAAGCGGCCGGGGAGGATGAGAAATCACTGCTGGACGGGACGGGATCTCCCCTCCTCCTGTGTATGTCAATATTGCCCGCTAGTCTTTCCCGAGTCTACTCATTTAACCTTGCTAGATGTATTTGCTCATTATCAAGTATATTATTTTCTGTACTTCAATTACTGGACAATGTGCAAGCCAGGTGCAGTAAATTTGTCCAGGGAGTGTCCATAAAAAAATGTTCAGTAGGTAGCCTACAGAGCTGATCTAGTTCTAGTTCAAATAAATAAATAAATAACCACAGCTCACTTTTAACTTTCAGTAGGATTTAAATTATTCCTTGCCAATAATTTGATTTCATCTGAACAAATCTTTGTTTATTCTTTGTAAAACTCCTGTAAAAATCCTAATTTGATACTAAATAGCACATCCTCCTGAGACCCAGAAAAAAAGTTTTTTTGAATTTAGTATTTTTTTTCATGTCATTAGCCTACATTGTTTAGAACATAAGACACAAATGAGAGAAAAAAAAATCTAAACATTTTTGACAAATTATATTTTATTCATGTTTATGCTATGTCCTCTGTAGTGGAACCCAGGACTCAGTTGTTTAGAAAATAAAATGACAAGTAGAGGCAAAAACATTGGAATTTCTTTTCATTCACCAATCAATTTTTAAGTTTCAGGATTTTTTTTAACCAAACTATGTATAAAGATGATTCTAAATGAAAGATAAAATGGAATAAATTGATAAACATGGCCATAAATGCCATTTCCATTCAATACAATGGCTATCTATACACTGCATGCACTCTATAAAAAAGGGTTCCTTGATACATGTATCTAATTTCCATATTAATGAAAAATTCATGAAAAAAGAAGTGTAATAATGGGAGTAATAATTTTTCAACATTTTCATAATAATATCTTATATTTCATATTGATGTATAATTTATTTCCCTATTCACTTGTGTCTCCAAAATGCCCGATAAACATGATTTCAGTCCTGGTGTCCTCTACAGTGGACATGTTTCAATTCAAATAAAAAGTCATATTTTGATTAGAAACCCTATAACATTTTCCTGAGATGTTTATTTATGACAAACAATTTGAAAATGAGTCAAATTTAAAAGATAATTACAGAATATCATATTTACATAAGAGTGCAAACTTTGATCACTAAATTAATGTCAGCTATTTTTAAAGACCAAGGAGAAGTTGTTGTCCTGGTGAAACCTCCATACATTCGGTATCTCTGAAAAGCCCTGAATGTGCTCTTTACATGACATTCTGTAGTATTTTTTTTTCTACTAAGTCAATGGGGTAGGCCTACATGAACTGTCTGGTTACCGACATTTTTCAAAATATCTTCCTTTGTGTTCAGCAGAAGAAAGAAATTCATACAGGTTTGAAACAACTTGAGGGTGAGTAAATGATGAATCATTTTTAAGTGAACTATTCCTTTAAGCTTGTGCTATGATAATAAGTCTATGATAATATGACTACTCAACGCTGCAAAAATACGTTGTTAGAAAAACCTATTCATATTAGGCTAGTTTCGATACTCTCAAGAGCACAATCACCAAATCTGTTTATGTTTAGCTCGCGCACTGAACAAAACTCGAGTGTCTCCTGTCTCAGCGATTACTCATTTTAACGCCTCTGATTGGTCATTGCATTCGTAAGCTCAACAGAGTCATGTGTGATTGGTTATAGTGCGCAACGCTGTAAAACGCGTAAAACTACGATGCAACATGATCAGATATAAATAATGCCGAAATCGACCCTTTTCATTTAATTTTCATTTTCACATTATTACTAGATTTAGTTAAAATGTGCAGGATAATTTTTGACCAAAGCCTCCGTTAATGTTTGACCAGTGGCCAGAGGAGCCTTCCCCAACCTAACACATGCTTGCTCCGCCTATCGGCTTATCTGTTTCTAAGGTGAAGGATTTGCTCATTAATATTAATTACGTTACTCGACGTTCAGTCCGATGAGCCGATGACGAATTAATGTATTACGTGATTGGATGCTCCATGGAGGTTAATTAATATTAATGAGATGAAGTATTTTGTGCCTATTCTGAGAAACGACGCACTGCGCATGTGCAAAAGATAAACGAATCGATAACTGCATGTCAACTGAAGGGCTCACCTAAACCGATCATTTTAAACGGCTCACCTAAACCGATCATTTTAGGTAAGAACAGGATCTTTTACATATTTGATATGAGACAAGCCTATTTTAATCATCGGCGCTGCATTTATCCACTGGTTCAGAGCAAACCAGCCCGCTGCGTTTGTATCTTACCTTTGTTTTTAGCTAACCAGTCAATGCTCGTGTAACGTTAGGAGCTAATGTGTCAAGGCCTGACTTACAAATGGCATTGTATGGCACTAATAAACCATAAACACGACACATGAATGTAGTTTCATCATCTGTCATTAATCCCATAACGTTACATGATGACAGTTGTTGTTTTGGCAAACAAAATGCTTGATGACATCGTATAGCCTACTCCTCCTTGTCTGCATGACTGCCTCAGTCATGTATTATATAAGATACAATCCGTATACCGGTATGAAATATTGCCACTAGTGTTCATATCTGATTGAATTGATTGTCTTTTTTTAGTTCTCCGTTAAAAGTTCTGTTCTATTTGATTTTCAATGAGTTTCTGTTATATTTGATTATCTATTCAAGATTCAATTGCATTTGATTCTCTGTTAAAAAATATATTCTGTATTTGATTCAACATTATATATTTTCTTTTCTTCGGTTCTCAATTAAAGATTCTATTCTATTTATGTGTCTATTAAAGATTCTATTCGGATTCTTAACCTAAAAATTTATTCTGTTTATTTAGGCTATTGAAAGGTTCTGCTCTGTTCAGTTCTCCGTTTAAGGTTATTTTCTATTTGCTTCTCCAATAAAGATTATGTTACATTTGTTTATCTATTTAGATATTCTATTCAAGTTTCTGTTCTATTTGATTGACTACTACAGATTCTATTCCATTTGATTCTCTAAAAAAGTTTCTGTTCAATTTATTTCGATTCTGTTCGATTACTTATTAAAGGTTCTATTTTATTCTGTTCAAATCTCTGTTAAAGGTTCTGTTGTATTTGACTCTCAAAGAGATTTGATCTTTATTAAAGATTCTATTCTAATTCTCTATTGTATTCATGATTCGGTTATATATTGCATTCTCTGTTAAAGGTTTCTATTTTATTTGATTCTCTATCAAAGTTCTAGTCTATAATCTATTTAATTTTCTGTTTTAAATGGTGGTCTTGGATATGCAGTTTTGTTTTTCTGGACATGTGATGTTTCATTTTGCTTTCAACCTTAGTTTTATAGTATAATTTGTGTTTTTTCGCCCATATTAAATCTTTGCTTTTATCACAGGTGTACAAAATGGGGAAGGCCCTTTCCCACCTGCCTAAGCCTACCTGTCATGATGACTGTCAGGACAACCTAACCGCATCCCCCGGGTACAGTGCCATGCAGACAGAGGACATTAAGAACGGGGGAGACGTGTCTCAGTTCCCTTACGTGGAGTTCACTGGCCGAGACAGCGTCACCTGCCCCACATGCCAAGGCACTGGAAGGATCCCGCGAGGTACATTTAGAACACTTCATCTGGAAAGTTCATGTCGATTAAAATGTTTTTTAAAGGAACCCAATCTGAAATGTACACCATGATGTGACACACTGTAACATGTTTATGCAGGCCAAGAAAATCAGCTGGTGGCCCTGATCCCATACAGCGACCAGAGGCTGAGACCAAGGAGAACGTAAGAGATTTTTGTAAAATCAGGGTGTCTGTGGATACTCAGTCTTAAAATGTCTTAAAAAAAAAAAAAAAAAAAAAAAAAAAAAGGCCTTAATTAAAACTCTCTGGGGTCGGCGGTCTCGCCGGCGCTACCAGCTCACTTTTTTCCTTATCAGTGCAAAAGAGACTCAAATTACTCTGTTAATTTTGATCTTACATATAAGTGTTGTACATCATTAGATCCTGTTAAGTTTCTATTTTTTTTGTGGATACTCACAATAAAAACAAAGTGTTGTGCTTTTCACCAAATAAAGAAAAACAAACATGATGCGAGTTTTGCGTTCTCTCTGTCAGTGAAGTCCATTCTGAAACGCGTCCTAAGATTAACTGTAACTCCGCGATTACTTGTCACACAGGCACGAGAGGTTTTTCTTTATGAAGCTTGAATTCTCTTCTTTTAAATGAAGTAATTTATATAAAAAACAAATATTCTCAGTTTATGCAATCTGTATGAAAAGAGAGTGCTGTCAGTATTTTTTCCCCCAGCTCATTACACTTCATTACGCGTTAATCTGACACGCCCACGGACGACGCGCGCTATTCAAACGCAAATGTCGAGGCAAGCCATGACAACGCCCACATCAGCTGTTCCACCGCGGCGGTAAAATGTGTGGTGTATTTGCTGCCTTTTACCGCTAAGAGGCGCTACAATCATAGACTCTGAAAAGTGTTCGTTTATTCCGGTTTATTCTCTCTAATGCGTAATCTGCTGCCGCACCGCGCTGATTCAGAGCGATTGAAAGCTGGTAGCAGAAGAATTCAACAAGTGAAACGTAGTTAAAATAATTCATAATCACAATACTGAAATTAGGCTACTGAAATGTAATTGAATAAATAATGAAAACATTTCAACATAAAACATTGCAATAAAAACATTTAGGCTACATGAACGAGGCTTTACAACTTTAACAGCGTACAGACGATAGCTCAGTGATCAACGCAACGACACGAGCTTCGAGGAGCTTCAACAGACCCGAGATCGAATCTCAATGTAGCATAGATGTTGTTAACCGATGTTGTCCTACGTTTATATTTTCCCACCTTGATGCTTAAATAGGTAACTGTTTATATCTGTTTACTTATTTAAAGTCAAGAGTTTTGTTTGATTATCATTACAACATAAATTTGCTACATTCCTGTAGAACCGCAGCCGCTGCACAAACGACAAAAACTGATGAAGATTGTCAGCCGATCAGAAAATGAAAATGAAGAAGCTCGTCTTTAGTCTGCTAAATTATTGTGTAATGTAAAAGAACACTAAAATTACTTAAGTTTGAAACCAAGTTCGAACATTTCAAGGTTTAAATTGTTTAATTTAAAACAGGGTTGCATCTTGTTTAGAGTTTATTTCTTTTGCGATGCAAAATAAGAAACACTAGGCTAATCTTATTCTTGCGACATTTTAAATTTGTATTGCCAAAGAAATTACAGCTAAATTAAACAATTAAAACAGTAGGCCTACAAAATGAAAATTGTCCAAAGAAACATAATTAAATTAAAAACATGCGTTTCTCTTTGCCTCTCTCGCGCTGGATCTCTTTTTAACAAGTTTATTTAGTCTCCCTCGCTGCGCGCGCGGGTCTCTCTCTCGAAATTAATCATTTCAGGGTAAAAACACATCATACAGCTGATAATACTGTATATGTCGCTGCGTGTCAGCCATACAAATCACGAAAAAATTATTTAACCTTTAATTGTTGCTTCAAAGACACAGCATGCCTTGTTGAATTCACCTTACAATAACTTCAATTGAAATTTTGTGTGAAAAAAAAACTTTAAATAGGCTACAATAAATAAACTACAATATTTATAATTTAATAAGATATGGGGCCTACATTTGGACACAGATTTATCCTTACAATAATTTTGCCTGCTCATCAGGCTGGCTATCCGACACTCTCCATATGAAAGAGGAACATTAACACCTTTGTCCAGCAACTGTCCCTCCAACCCCCCACAGGCTATCGGAGTCTGAGGCTGACTTAACACAAAGAGAAGTCGCAATTCACACTTAAATCGCCATTCTAGACAGTGTTGATAATGAAGGAATTAAATGATTTAAGTTACATGTAGCCTAGTGATATTTCTGTCATAAAAGTTTATTACTAAATATTTCATTATTTCAATAATTGATGAAATAAAACTGGTTTGGGGCAGCTTTTTCCAAGCAAAACTAAATATAATCTGAAAAAACGCTTGTGAATTTGTTGTCACTTAATATTAAAGTCTACAGGGATCTTTGGATCCTTACAACCAGGCATGCAATTTGTGAATTAAGTTTTTATTTTATTTTGTATTATTCAAATAAATATCGAAACACGGTGCTTCGTGGTAATGCTGCTAAATTAAATAACATTTATAGAATAATTATGAACTTAAATGAAACAATATCGCAACATTTCGACAAATACATTATTATGTTTTTACATTTTAATTCAGGGCGATTTAGCCTACATTTAATTAGAGCGAGATTTTCACCCATGTCTTGTCATTTTCTCATTGGGAAGCGCATGTTTGAGTAGATCCTCTGTACCTCTCGTTTTCATATGGATTAGCCTACATAATCAGATAACATTTATTAGCCTAAATATTTAGACATTTAAAGGCTTTAGACATAGCCGATTTCTTATCGTGACTGAGCTGAAGTGGCTTTCGGTTCATTTTTGTGACGCGCAGTTCCCGGAGACAGAGAGGACAGATATACTGTTTTTGTCGTTAGCCTAATATGAATACAAGTTTACAGTTTTGAACGATGTAAGCTACTCTACTCTTATCTGTATGACCAAAAAATTACGGAGTCGCCTATTAAGTTATTTTAGCTGTAATAATGAGATAAATAAATTAATCTAAATGAACGCGCCGCCGCGTTTGTCGAACACTAACTCACGATGCCAGAATAAAACCCGACTTTAGAAAAATGCATAGGGTCACTCGGCGTGGTGTGCCAAAACACTTAATTATAAACTTCAATATTTCATTCAAAATAATCTCAACACGCTTTGTGAAATTTTGAAAAGCCGTGCATGCATTAAGGCCACTGGAACTAATGAACAACTGAAACGCTGGTTTTGATTTTATTGTTTTTCGTTTAAACGTGCCTGTTGCATATCTCTATTTTATATATTTGATATTGGTGAAGTAGCCTATAGCATTGATTAGCTGTGGAGGGAGGGGTGTGGGGATTAAAATAATTCAGCAGAAGTAGGGATGTTTAGACCAGAAGGAAATCCCAGTCCCCCCTGGCAAATCACACTTTACTTAAAACCATGTTTTTAAAAACTCTAGGTTGTAGGGAACAGACCTCTCTGCCATGCGCGCGCACGGTTTGGAGCACAATATCTGTCTCGCATGCACGCTCGCTCTAAATAGATTACGGGATATTTTAACTAATTTACGGTATAACTAGTCGATCACGAGTGGCTCAACAGGTAGATCTATAGATAAACTATATCTTTCAGGAATTTGACCGACCGGGTTGACACTTCAGCGTGAGAAATCGGGGGGGTGGCGTGAGAGCCTGGAATAAATAAATAAAAAAATATATATAGCCTATATAAAACAAAACTGTATGGTGTAACAGAGTTTTAGAGCTAGATAAATCTCTCTGCAATAATAAATATAAAATATACAGCAGACCATGTTTGTGCGGGATTTGAACCTGTGTCATCTTGATGATGAACCATCAGTTCTACCGCTCGGCTATGAATTTTGTTACTGAGAAATAACCAAACGTTTGATTCTCACATGAGCGAGAAAACGTTTTGTCTTTAGCCTGTGAGTGTAGGCCTACTTTAACCTTTTACAGTTTTAAAAGATTATATCTTATCTGTATGACCAACAATTTGTTGTAGGCTTATTTGGAAATTACCATAACTTGTAGTATTTCATCCTTAGGCTACTGTTAATAGACATTAGCCCCACTTACGTTTTGCTAAATGTCCCTTTGCGCCACCTGGCGGTCATTTCGCGTACGACTTTGAAATGCGACTGGTTTATTTTTACCGCGGTGGATGGCTAAAAATGGTATGTGGATGGCTAAAATGTGTGACTAAAAATGTGCTTTTGGCTTTCATTTATATTTTGATTGTTTGTATATATATATATATATATATATGTATATGTATATATATATATATATATATATATATATATATATATATATATATATGTATATATATATATATATATATATATATATATATATATATATATATATATATATATATATATATAATGAGCCTTTCATTCAGGGGTGTCACACAAGAAAGAATGCAAGGACAATATATATATATATATAAATAAATAAATATTTATATACACACACACACACACACACACACATATATATATATATATATATATATGTGTGTGTGTGTGTGTGTGTGTGTGTGTGTGTATATAAATATTTATTTATTTATATATATATATTGTCCTTGCATTCTTTCTTGTGTGACACCCCTGAATGAAAGGCTCATTAGTATGCAGTCTGCTCAGGTGAGAACTGCCTAATTATTCATGAGGGGGTTGGGCCGATCCGCCCATCCGCATATTGCCTTTGCAAACAAAAAAATGTTTTTCACAATTTAAAACAATCTATTGTTTTATGTGAATGATTAGCCAGAATGATTTTCAGATCAATTTGAAGCAAATACTCTAGGCGACAACATCCACTAGTCAAAAGTCTTGTGGACAGATATTTAGTATGTTATTTGTGGCCATATATTAGAAAATTTATTTTTTAGTTTTTTCAATAACCACGCATAAACAATATTCTCTCAAAAATACAAACATGTACATACATGTTGCTCACATATAATGGTAGCCCTGTGTGTGCTATATAGAGTGTAATTTCACCTGTGCCATTAATATGTTTATAAGCAACTGAAAAATGCACAAATGTCAGAGCATGCCAAAACATCTCAAGGACCCCGAAAACACCTCAGACCCCAGAGGGTTAACAATAAAATGTCTTAAATCCACTTTTCAAAGGTCTTAAAAATGCAATTGAACTGACACCGTAGTCAAGTTTTAGATTAAATTTTCGTTCATTGCTTTTTGAAATCTTAAAATCGGTTTAATGCATAAAAGTATTAGTATTTGTATCCCCAAATAAAATGTTTATGAAATGTATTCATAAAAATGAAATATTATATATTTCAGTCTAGTTTTGAAAATGGCATTTAAAAAAATTAAATGGGAAGTGCTGATATTCTGAAAAATGTTTATCCTAATGCAGTTTTGTTGAACCAGTTCTCACTGTTTTAGTCTCATTCCTTTTTTGAAGGTATTATTTTCTTATTTATGAAGATATTATGTTGTGTTTGTTTTACTGATTTAGCTCTTAATCTATGTTTCAGCAAGCTGTATGTGACTGCTTCAGTTATTGTGTGCCTGCTGCTCTCCAGCCTGGCTGTGTTCTTCCTTTTCCCACGTTCCATTGATGTGAACTATGTGGGAGTGAAGTCTGTCTACGTGTCCTATGACCAGAGCAAACGCATTGTGTATCTCAATGTTACGGTAAGTTCCTCCAGAGCAGTCATCACTCTAAACACATGACACAAGTGAGTTTAAAAGTGCTTCAGCAATAAATTTAAGAGATCCCAAATATGAAAATTCTGTTGTAATTTAAGGCTGGCAATATCACCCTTATTTTGCAATCAAGTAACCAACTTGGTTACCATTGGAAGATGGTTTGAGAAAAACTAGGCGTCATACATGACTGAGGATCACACACTACTAGACAAGTCGTTTCAAACACAACAAACTCACTCTCACATGAGATCTGTGTATTGTATTTCATCCTGTCTGTCGTTCCAAACCTGTATAATATTTTTCCCACAGACAGATGCTTAGCAGGTTAATGCGCGTTTGAAGACAGATTTTTTTTAGATGTCTGTTCATCCTGTTTAATTGTCTTTATTTCCTTTAAAGAACTCATTGAATATTACTAACAACAACTATTACTCGGTGGACGTGGCCAACATCACAGCCCAGGTGCAGTTTTCCAAGACTGTGATTGGAAAGACCCGCATTAGTAACATAACCACTATTGGCCCCCTGGATATGAAGCAGGTAGAGCTGTACTTTCAATAGCTGTTAAAATGTATGTTTCAGCATATATAATCTTTAATCATATTTGTGGTATACTTCTTTTTTTATTATTTATTTTGTCAGATTGACTACATGGTGCCCACCACCATAGCTGATGAAATGAGCTATATGTAGTAAGTATACACACTCTTTATACATGAAAACATAACACGTAATAAATATATATATATATTCAGCAAAAAAAAAAAGAAATACTTTCCAACTGCTTTTTTCCCTGCAAATTTCTTAATGTGTTAATATTGATATGAACATAAAAAAGATTCAACAACTTAAACATAAACTGAACAAATTTCACAGGCATTTGACAAACAGAAATGGAATAATGAGTCCCTGAACAGAGTGGGAATCGATATCAAAAGTAGCAGTCAGTAACTCGTGTGGCCAGCAGCTCATCTTCATGAACTGCAGCAGATTTGCCAGTTTTGCTTTGAGATGTTACTCCAGTCTTCCACCAAGGCACTTGCAAGTTCTCGAATCTGGGGGGGACATATGGTAACGTGTTTTGGCACTGCAAGGACGATCAGCTGTCCTTCCTGTCTCCCTGTAGCACTGTCTTAAGTGTCTTACTTTAGGGACATTAAAGTTTATTGCTCTGGCCACATCTGCAGTCCACCTGCGTCCCTACAATCTATGGCATGTTCACGCAGGTGATCGGGGACCCTGGGCATCTTTCTCCTGGTGTTTTTCCACAGTGAGTCAGTAGAGAGGTCTCCTTTGTGTCCTAAGTTATTGGAACTGTGACATTAAAGCAACACCAAGTAACTTTTCCTCAGCGGTCGCCCTACAGGTTGGAAGCGGAATTGTCCATTACTGCTGTCATAAATAATTTAGCCTACCGCAGCCTACTGTCACACGCGCACGCACACACATGCTCTCTGTTTATCCAGCACCGGCTTTGGAATCATGATGACAATTCAAAAGCTACCCGGCTGCTAGGTATCTTACATGTAGTTGTAGTCTAGTGTCAAGTACGCTCCACCTATCGGCAATTGTAACGCTTGCCGTAAAGCAAGTCAAATTTGTAGTTTTCGTATGTCTCATTCGGACTACAGAAACGCGACCTGATCTGGCAATCTTACATAGCGTGGATATATCAAGTCAAGTCAAGTCAAATATATTTATATAGCGCTTTTCACAATACAGATTGTATCAAAGCTGCTTCACAGTATCAATCAAAACAACTTAACAGTGTTTGTTTATTACTGGAAAAGACATCCAAGTTTGGTAGAGCTGATCAGTGGTATGATGGGTAATTTAATTTGAATATCCCCCATATATCAGATAAAGGACCGCAAAGCGGTGGCATAAGTGCATTTCACCATGTCACGACTTGATGAACCACTGAAATGATTTTGAAAACATTATTTTAAGGTAAAAAATCTTACTTAGTGTTGCTTTAATTGTCTACCGCCTGTAAACACTTAGCATCTTAAAGACTGTTCCACAGGTGCATGTGCAATAATTGTTTATGGTTCATTGAACAAGCATGAACAACTTTGATTAAACCCTTTCCAATAATGGGGAAAGGTAATGATATTGCTTTGATATGCAAATCGTTGGTAATGGGAAAGCTTTGATATGCAAAGCTTTCTTTTTTCGCTGAGTTTATATTTTTCCCTAACAAGCCTTTTCAACTTCATCTGTTTTACAGTGACTACTGTACTCTGCAGAGCATCAAGGTGCACAACATTGTGGTTATGATGCAGTAAGTATTGTGCAAAACGCGTATATTGTTTTGATTGATTTTTAACAATAGTTTATAAACCTTTAAAGACAGACCTACTGTGATTTCGATGGTACATGCTTTTGTTGAAAGCTCCAGTCTGCATTATTTCAATTTTTTTAAATAATCGAATTTAACAGCGGAATCCCTGGTGAAAACTACATATCCCATGATTCTGCAAAGAAATCTCCACCAAGCAGGGAATCAAAATAAGCAAATCACGCCAAAACTTAGCACTTAGCACACGTTGCTATACGTTCAGCAGTCACGCAGGAAAAGCAGGTTTGAGGTAATTCTAGTGCAGTCGGGTAAATGTTCTTTGTTTATCTGTTACTAACTTTGCTCGTTGGTTTGCAGGATAACCGTCACTACAGTGTACTTTGGCCATGCTGAGCAGGTGTCTCAGGAGATGTACCAGTATGTGGACTGTGGAGGAAACACTACAGCTCTGCATGAATATAGTCTGAATACTCCTTGGGCAGGCTAGAGCTGATCCCGATAATGTAACATCACCCTGTCCCTCACCTCTCCATTCCATGTGTCAATGTTTTGGTAAATCTGTTTGAGGGTTTACTGCACTTCTGCCAGTGAACCACTAGATGTCAGAGTGTTTGCAATTCACGAATGATGCACTTTATTTTTCATTTTCTCCAAGCAATATGAACATTACGGGGTCTGCGTAGTTCTCAGTCCAGTTCACTTTGCCAAACAGAATCATTCATGAGTGTTGTGGTACAAGATACCTTTTGACAAAGTTCCCTTGTCTTCTAGCACTTCTTATTTAAAACCCCTCTTAACTGACTTGATGTATTTATGTATTTGATGCCAGCTTTTTGTCAGCTGTACTTCGGGTTATTATTTTTATCGTGTTGATCCTGATATTCATTACAGTTCCAATGACGAGATCTATCTTAACCCAAACACACTTAATACCTCGTTCCAGTTCCACAGAGTTGGTTCATGCTCACAGACAGCATTACATGATGCTGTTTTCTGAGGGGGAGTCGGGGTGCATATTTGAGATTGCTTTCAACTACTGTGTGTTTCATACAAAAGGATCATGTGACCACTGAGGGAATGTCATTGTAGATAGCACAAAAGTTGTGCTTCATGTAAACACTTCAATCTATTTATTTTGTTTGCACTTTGATAGCAACATTTCTTTGTCACAGTTTATAAGCTGTAAATCTCCATGAAAAATCACCTCTAAATGCAAACTGATAAAGCACTAATTATGTAGAACCACAATCACTGGCACCTGAGAGCATCTGACTGCTCAAATAATGGAGAATATTATGAGATGACCATTCCTTCTGATTCCTTATTGTTTAGAATTTAAAGGCATTTCATATAGAAGTTTGCTTATTAAAACTAGATGTTACGTTTAGATAGAGAGAACTTTGATAACATTTTAAACCAGATGGACTATATAGAAATTTACATTTGTAAACATTTTAATCATGTTTTTAAAAAAGATTATATAGCCTCTGTAATAGAAGTGGCTGCTAACATGACTTGGCATTTTTGCATTTCCTAACAACCGTTTGCTTGATGTACATGTTTGTGTGTAGCTCTTGTGATTTTGAAAGAAGAAAAAAAGCGGTTTGGACTGCTTGAGAGATACACCGACTGAAATAACATGACACCTACTGGTTTCCATGAAATAAACATGTTTTGAGTCACTTGACCTTTGTTTCTATGAATTAATGTGAGAAAAAGAATAACACGTTTAGTTTGTTTGAGGGTGTTTAAATGCATTTTCTTTATTTGGTTATAATATTGCTGCAATGAAAAAGTTATTTTACGTTTCGGGTACATTAATAATTCTATATAAAAGCTCTCTTAGTAGATAATTTATGTGCACAGGATTGAATTACAGTTTAAGCTTTGTGATTATTTGTAGCATGAATAAATGTGCAAACGCATTGATCTATTTACTGGACCTGTAATTTAACAATAATAATAAGTTTTAATAATAGCACTGAATGATCTAACACCCTTTGATGAGAGACGAAAGCGTGGTACAGTAAGCAGTTTTAAGTCAGATGACCGAAGAGACTGGGGGTGAATAATAGTGCAACAGCTCAGACAGATAATGGGGAGCAAGACCATGAAGGCATTTAAAAGTTACAAGGATAATTTTATACTAAATACGGACAGAAACAGAAAACCACTGAGATTGTAGAGCAAAGGGGTTCTGGTGGTAGAATTTTGAACAAATTGTAATCTAGCAAGTGTTTTAGCCAGCAGTCCAATGATAAGCAAATTACAGTAGTCAAGACGTGAGGCTATCAAAGCATGGACCAGAGTTTTAGTGTCTTTGGGGATGAGAGCAGGCCGCATTCGGGCAATAATGTGAAGGTGGTAAAATGCAATTTTGTGTTGGAAATAGAGTTTATATGAGATTGAAAAGCCAAGAGGAAGAGCAGATTGCAGAGCAAGCGGATATGTAAATTTGCAGGTCATCAGCATAACAATGATAGCTGAAACCATGACAACAGAAAATATGACCAAGGAGTAACAAATAAATATTGAAAAGAAGAGGTCCAAGAACAAAGCCTTGAGGGACACCTTGAGAGAGATGACAAGTGAAGGATATGAAGTTATGGACAGAAATAAAGAATTGCCTATTGAGATGGGATGTAAACCAAGAAAGAGCTCTACACGTGAAGCCTATAGCTAAAAGATGAGAGATAAGTATGTGATGGGATACAGTGTCAACAGCTGCTGTTAAATCAAGCATGATAAGAACAGTGGTCATTGGTCATTTTTAACAGTGCTGTTTCAGTGCTATGGCCTGATCGAAAAACGATTGATAGGGATCAAGAAGATTTTTAATAGAGAGATGAGATTGTAACCGAAAGGCAACTGTTTTTTTCCGAGCAGTTTAGAAACAAAAGGAAGATTGGTCATAGGTCTGAAATTATTCATAGCAGAATAATCTAGTTATAATCTAATAATCTGTCACATATCACACATGCACACTTCATAATCCGACAGAAAGCAGGTTAATGCGTTTACGTGCCGGGCGAAATCAGTGTAAGGGGCAAAAATCTAGCTGTGACGATCGGTTTATTCTAAGCTGTTTATGACCATATTCCGATAAAGGAAAACGAGCAACAGTGGCATATTAGAATAATCTCTGATGAACCAATGGCTGCTGAAAATTCAGCTTTGTCAGCACCTGATTTCTTCAAAATATAACAGCCACACAGGGGCGGATCTACCGGGGTGGCATAGGGTGGCAAATGCCACCCTAAAAGAAAGCCTTGCCACCCCTGCTGCCACCCCAGTTGGCGGCAACGAATTAAAAGTTATGGCCAATTTGACAATTTACGAACGCGAATCTCCAATGTCCGACTGCAGTGAATTCGCTCCGTGCATAATATGACGACCGTTGACGTTCGTACTTTATTGTGTGGGCAAATACTTCCGGTGATCTGACCGCGAGAGCGGGAGACAGCGAGAGCAAGAGACAACAGCGACCGAGTTCCATTACCAGAGAGATAAGTTTTCAACCCGACCAAATTTTTAAATGCATATATCATTTTCAGTGTATTTCACCTGTGCGTTTCTATGCTTTATATTACTGCATTTATTTTGTGCAAGTGAGATGAGTAAAGAACATCTGTTTCATATATCATTATCTGTCTGGTGTTTATAAGCAGTAGCCTACAGTATTTTACTACGTGTAAAATATACACAAACTTAGCTATATTAAGTTGTTTGTGTACAGTTAAAAATATAAATGTAAAATATGTGATAATAATATTGATCGAGCAATTGATGTAAGTAAGTAAAAATACATGCGCAGAATTAAGAAAATATTATTTAATATTTATGGAGATAAATTGTAGCCTATGATAAAGCAAACGTGTGAATGTTCACAGGGTATTTTATTTAATATTATAACTATTATTATATAGTAGTGTAATGTAGACAGACACTATATCACAACTAAAAAGAGTTTTGAGTTTTTTTTTTGTTCAATTTGCACACTGAATATGGGTTGGAGCTCTTTATTTTGAACTCTCAAAGTGCACCAGATTGATGAATTTAACATTAAAAAGCACAAAATTTTCTTACGGGGGAGCATGCCCCCGAACCCCCCTAGAGGGACAGAGGTGCACTCTGCACTCACCACAGATTTCGATGGGAAAAACCGGTATGCAGCTTATAGCTTGTTTTAGGATTCATCACTGTGGAGTATAGTTTAACTGAGTATAGTTCAACTTTTAGTATAGTTCCACAGTTTCTAATGATAGAGGAAGAGTTGCGTCAGCATCACACTCGTGCATCGTGGCACTCACGGGAACAGCGTCGGCCAATTATGACCCGGCATTCTGATGTAGAACCCAGAAGCGCTGCACAGTGTTTACTACGCGATCAGTGTAGGAGACTGACACAGAAGAGAAGAAATTGTTGAATAAAGTAATTATTTTTGTTTTGGGGTTTTTTGCGCACAAAAAGTATTCTCGTCGCTTCATAACATTAAGCTTGAACCACTGTAGTCACATGGACTATTTTAACAATGTCTTTACTACCATTCTGGGCATTGACATCCAGACGTCTGCCAATTTGTTTAAGCAATCGGATTTCAGGTATACCAAGGAGAAGCATGAGATGAAGATACTGTTATGGATTTTCTATCCTCAAACCTAACTATTTTAGATTTGTCTCCCCAAGACTAACTATTCTAATATAACTTATACGCTAGCGCAACTAAATATAATTGACATTAGCTACGTTCACACATCAGCGAGTCTCCAGTCGACTACAGCATCCGCTCCCTAACTATACATCAGCGAGTCTCCAGTCGACTACAGCATCCGTCTAAATCTCCAGCGAGTCTCCAGTCGACTACAGCATCCGCTCCGTAGCTATACATCAGCGAGTCTCCAGTCTACTACAGCATCCGCTCCCTAACTATACATCAGCGAGTCTCCAGTCGACTACAGCATCCGCTCCCTAACTATACTTCAGCGAGTCTCCAGTCGACTACAGCATCCGCTCCCTAACTATACATCAGCGAGTTTCCAGTCGACTACAGCATCCGCTCCCTAACTATACTTCAGCGAGTCTCCAGTCGACTACAGCATCCGCTCCCTAACTATACATCAGCGAGTCTCCAGTCGACTACAGCATCCGCTCCCTAACTATACATCAGCGAGTCTCCAGTCGACTACAGCATCCGCTCCCTAACTATACTTCAGCGAGTCTCCAGTCGACTACAGCATCCGCTCCCTAACCATACATCAGCGAGTCTCCAGTTGACTAGAGCATCCGCTCCCTAACTATACTTCAGCAAGTCTCCAGTCGACTACAGCATCCGCTCCCTAACTATACATCAGCGAGTCTCCAGTCGACTACAGCATCCGTTCCCTAACTATACTTCAGCGAGTCTCCAGTCGACTACAGCATCCGCTCCCAAACTATACATCAGCGAGTCTCCAGTCGACTACAGCATCCGCTCCCTAACTATACATCAGCGAGTCTCCAGTCGACTACAGCATCCGCTCCCTAACTATACATCAGCGAGTCTCCAGTCGACTACAGCATCCGCTCCCTAACTATACATCAGCGAGTCTCCAGTCGACTACAGCATCCGCTCCCTAACTATACTTCAGCGAGTCTCCAGTCGACTACAGCATCCGCTCCCTAACCATACATCAGCGAGTCTCCAGTTGACTAGAGCATCCGCTCCCTAACTATACTTCAGCAAGTCTCCAGTCGACTACAGCATCCGCTCCCTAACTATACATCAGCGAGTCTCCAGTCGACTACAGCATCCGTTCCCTAACTATACTTCAGCGAGTCTCCAGTCGACTACAGCATCCGCTCCCTAACTATACATCAGCGAGTCTCCAGTCGACTACAGCATCCGCTCCCTAACTATACATCAGCGAGTCTCCAGTCGACTACAGCATCCGCTCCCTAACTATACATCAGCGAGTCTCCAGTCGACTACAGCATCCGCTCCCTAACTATACATCAGCGAGTTTCCAGTCGACTACAGCATCCGCTCCCTAACTATACTTCAGCGAGTCTCCAGTTGACTAGAGCATCCGCTCCCTAACTATACTTCAGCAAGTCTCCAGTCGACTACAGCATCCGCTCCCTAACTATACATCAGCGAGTCTCCAGTCGACTACAGCATCCGCTCCCTAACTATACTTCAGCGAGTCTCCAGTCGACTACAGCATCCGCTCCCTAACTATACATCAGCGAGTCTCCAGTCGACTACAGCATCCGCTCCCTAACTATACATCAGCGAGTCTCCAGTCGACTACAGCATCCGCTCCCTAACTATACATCAGCGAGTCTCCAGTCGACTACAGCATCCGCTCCCTAACTATACATCAGGGAGTCTCCAGTCGACTACAGCATCTGCTCCCTAACTATACATCAGCGAGTCTCCAGTCGACTACAGCATCCGCTCCCTAACTATAGATCAGCGAGTCTCCAGTCGACTACAGCATCCGCTCCCTAACTATACATCAGCGAGTCTCCAGTCGACTACAGCATCCGCTCCCTAACTATACTTCAGCGAGTCTCCAGTCGACTACAGCATCCGCTCCCTAACTATACATCAGCGAGTCTCCAGTCGACTACAGCATCCGCTCCCTAACTATACATCAGCGAGTCTCCAGTCGACTACAGCATCCGCTCCCTAACTATACATCAGCG